AATTTACTCCATAATATTATTTTTAAACACTTTACCCTATCATTAACTAACTCAGCAAGTTAAACAAATTTAGATGAAAGTACATTCGTTACTTGCATAGTTAAAAAATAAAGGAAAAAATATAGAAAAGCCCTTTGAGGTTAAGTGAACATAAACTTTAGTACCTCGTGATTTAAACTAATTTAAAATAGTTACAAAAATTGTTTGAATTAACGGGTTTGAAATACATGCGCGTTTTTTTTTTGCAAGTATTTGTAGTGGAAACAAACAAAATTTCAGTTGATATATCTATTATACCCTTAGAGTTATAATACAGAAAAATTACACGTGGTTAAGCAAACCTACACAAAAAGTCCCTTATAGTTTCAAATCATGTAATCTAGTACCTTATGGTTTGAACTAATATAAAAATCAACAAAAATAATTTAAATTAACGAGTTTGAGGTTGCTTGACGTGAAAATAATTTTTTAAAACCAAATTTTTAGCTAATGTAGAACTTTCAAAAACAACCCAAAACTCCCAAATACAACTCACCTTATTTCTATACATAAAATAAATAAATAAAAATTCCTAAATAAAGCTCACCTTATTTTTATACACAAATTAAATAAATAAAAACTTTCAAATGCAACTTACCTTATTCCTATGCACAAAATAAATAAATAAAAATAACATGTAACCATATGGGCTTTTTCATTGGCTTAATCATAGAGGATTTTTCCATGAGTTTGCCTAATAGGATGATTGCTAGAAGGTCTTTTATTACTTATATATATTAGGATAATTGTATCATTTCACCTGTCTTTGTTAGTTTTGATGATTTCCATTACTATTTCAAATTAGTTCAAACATGATGAGCCGAAATGTATGATTTGAAACCAAAAAGGGCTTTATTGTAAGTTAGCTTAACCACCGGGACTTTCTTGTTTTTTATCCACAAATAAAATTTTGGAAAGGTTTTTCTCCTCTTTTTCATCCTTTTTAATATCAAGAGAAAAAGTCAAAACTGTTCTTCTCCCTTTTATTTTTTGAATCTTTTTAATATTTAGAGAGAGAGAGAGAGAGAGAGAGGGGTAAGGGAGAGAGAACTAAATTCTTTAAAAAAATATTGAAACATAAGAAAGTATCCAATGTCCTCATTGTTTTAAAATCATTCCTTACTCCTCCAGTGACAAACTTAAAGTAATCATAATATTGGATTTTTTCTTATTTTCTTACATTTTAAAATTGAGTTTTCTATCTCCCTCTCCTTCTACTTTTATTTTCTTGATGTTAATAAGAGTGAAAAAAAAAAGAACGGAAAAACTGTTTTGCTTTTATTTTCTTTGTACATTTAGATTGGAAAAAAAAAAGAGGAGACTAGCCGTTTCAATCTTTTATTATTTTTACTTATATATGAGAGAAGGGTATTTCCTTCACAAAAATTTCAACGCGCTAAGTTTAACTGTGTAATAAAATGCACAATGCTTGGGAATAAATCGGCTTAGGGGTGTAGATAAAGTAATGAAAAAATAACATTGGGGGTAAAGTGAAAATAGTACTATAGTTAAGGGATAAAGTAATAATAATTCAGATAAATGATTAAAGTTTTTGGTAGAAGTGGACCGGAAGTAGACAACAATTTCCCATGTAAGGCGGTGGCTTCTAATTCATTACTCCAATAATTTGTCTCCACGGATAAATTTTGGTTTTTGTTTAATATTTAAAAGTCGCCTTTATATGATTTGCTATAAGTAATAAAACTTGAGTGTACAAGATGGTTAAACAATTAAGGTGGGATTTAAAATGGGCTTCTTTGTACTTAAAATATAGGCTTAATTGCAAAGTGCACCCTTAAACTATTACCGGTTTGTACATTGCACCCCTAACTATGCATTGTAGCGATATACTACCTTAATCTTTGAATTTTTAGCACATTACTCAATTATCATTAATTTGGTGGGATACAAGTTAGTGAAAAGACTTCAACAACCTTGCAAAATAGACTGTGCCTAATTTGATTTTTACTACTCCTATAATTGCTGCCACAATCATATTTACAACTAATTAATGGCAACAAGCAACTTTAGAAGTTCACATGCAAGGATTTTATTTTCTCTTCTTATCTATTATTTTTCCATTTTTTCACAGCAAAAGCAAGGAAAAATCTTTTCACCTATGCTTTTGTCTTGGTAATTAGAATGTTTAATCTCTTATTTATTAATTCAAAATTAGTTTCCATCAAATTCCACTTCAGATTCCCTATCAGCACCATAGATCAAAACTAATTATCACCAAACTCATAACCACAACTAACCAAATTAGAAAAACCAAAACAAGCCACCAAGATAAACCCATCATTAATGAAACCAAAACCATAGACCTAAAAACAACTCGTACCCTAATTAATTTGGGATGGAGGAATTGAGATAATAGATAGGCGTCATCTTTGAGATTAGGATAGAAAGACGAAGGTTATTGGGGTTTTAGAGGAACTGCAATTGATTCATATGTTTTGCAAGAGTGGAAAGGAGAATTCAAGACTTGCTTGAGAACAAAAATCAGAGGGGTGAGGGAGTTTAAAAAATGGATAAGGGATTTGTTTGAGGACAAAAAATCAGTGAAGAAAAGGAAATGGAAATGGATTGGGGCTGTTCCAGAGATTGGAGAGTGGAGTGTATCTCATAGGGAGAGGCAAAAGAATGTGAGCATAGGAAATGGCTATCATAGGGATTTTGGTTACTCAGAATGGGGCAAAATAGTCATCAAAGTTTTCTCTTGACTGATTTATAATCAATTGAGGTAAGGTGATGAAGGTATTATAGTGCTACAATTCATAGTTTAAGATGCAACCTACAATCCAAAGATAGTTTGAGGATGCATTTTGCTATTAACCCTAAAATATATGTAACTGGGTAAAGAATTGGGTTGGATGGCATGATAGCACAAAATAAGAGGTGTATCTGGTGCTATTTTGTATAAAAAAAAAGATTTAAATTTATGATGCTAAATATGTATCTGTAACGCTAAAAATATGCAATTAACAGATATTGATAATGTTAGAATTTTGTAATAGGCTCATTCTCTCTTTTTGGTTGATTATCCTGTGCCCTTTGGGCAAAAAATAGGAAGAGTCAAATTAAAATAACTTAAAAAGCAAGTATAGTCAAGATATGGAATTGGTCGATGAAATGGCTAGTGTCATCTTGATATGATTTGTTTATCATATATACACGCTTTATCAATCTGACAAGTTAAGATACACCATTTCACTAACAAATAAGAAGAAAATTTAATCCCCTTGACATATGTGTGTGTGTGTGTGTATATATATATATATATATGTGTGTGTATCAAGTCAGCTGTTTAGAAGATCTTAGTGATTATTTTATAGACATATAATTGCATTTATTTTTTCTTAAAAAATTAGTATTCAATGATGTTGTGTGTTTGCAACATATGTGAAGAACTTGATTTTCAACGAATGGCAATAACTTTGGTCATGCGACGTAGCCAAGAACTCGTTTTGATTGAATTTTTTAGGAGTTTTTGGAAATTTTTTTATAAAAATAATTATACTATAATACTTTTTTGAAATATGGTATATCAGTTAAAAAATAGTTAAAAAAATGTGTCCAGAGAGTATTTCAAAAAAACAGGTAAGATATTTAGACTAGATTCAAGCACCAATTTTCTTACATACTCTTCCAGTTCTGTTTCTTTTAACTTAGGAATGGAATAAATACCCAAATAATTAAAGTATTGGGTAAAAACAAAATGTCCCTTGTGGTAAATCTAATATACAGAAAACCCCTCGTAGTTTCAAAATATATAAAACGACATCTTATGCTTTGAATTAAATTGTAAAGGTGATAGAATCGGTTAAAATTAATGGAAATGATTTATTGGAACCTAAAAAATATTTTTTTATGCCTAATTTTTATCAAATATACCTACTTTACCCTTAGCCCCGAATTATCTCTCTCCAAAGAATGAAACAAATGATTTTTGTTGAGCTGTCTTTTGCTTCGTTATATCAAGGCATTTTTATCATTTCATTTGTCCCGTTAAGTTTAACAGATTCCGTCATCTGTATAATTTTAATATATGAGATGTCGTTTTATACGCTTTGAAACTATTTGGGATTTTTCTGTTTATTAGATTTATCATAGGTGACTTTTTATTTTTATTTGTTGCATAGATGAAATGTTATTTGCACTCTATATTTTGTTTTTGCATTCCACCATTTGTTTTATCATAAGTCTAATAAATGAAAATTATATGATTAAAATGATAGTGGGAGTGTAATTAACAAAAATTAAAGTGTGAATACCATTTCTCCAAGTTTTTTGTTTAAAATAAATATTGAAAAGACTTGTATTTTGTAAAACAATTTTTATTCCAAAATCCAAAATTATACAAATGGAGCCCAAACAAAAATTCCAAAACTATTAATTGCCTAGTACCTTTCTTCTTTTTTTAAAAAAAAATCAGGTGGCGAAGGTCGAACAGGGTCTAGAGAAACTGATAGGGACACAAACGCAATCTTATGAATTTAGAAGAGACTATATACAATGGCACGTTAACGGAAGAAAAAGTTTGAATTGTTGACCTTCTGTCACACCAAAATTTAAAAGTCTTTGGGAGTGGTTTTGGACTTTTGGGTTGTTAGTTAATTGCCTGGTACTTTTCGCTTCATAAAAGTACGCATAATGCTAAAAGGCTGCTATTACTTTCCAAAATCATTTCTACATGGAAAGCAGGACTGTAGACTTCACACTGCAGCTTCCGTCCTACTGTACCTCTCAACTTTCCATAACTTTGTCTTCAAGAAAACGGCTAAAAAAAATGAAAATGAAAACTTTCCAAATTTCTTAGAGTATTAACTAATCAGCGTAACAGTAGCATATATATGTATTCTCAGGGCTCAGACATCAGTCTAAATTAGTCCCAAGCTCTTTAGTTCTCAAGTCATCAGGTAGTATTAAAACTCAACGGATTTTCTTCAATTTTTGCAAGAATGGCAATTTTGAGTTCTCAGAAGAGAGAAGAGATGAGAAGAAATGAAAGTTTTCGCCGACGCCCTCGAAAGAGCAGCAAGCCCTGTAGAGCTAGGACCAATTCAGTTGCAGATCAGTTTCGTTTTTGGCCCTTTTTGGTTGAAAAAACCGAAACACCAACCCAGAAATCTTGTGTAAATAAGGGCAAGAAAATGATCGGATTAGCACTGCCTAATCTTGATCAAGAACTGCCCACCAAGAAATCTTGTGGAAAGCTACGTGCTGAAGCTAAAACTAGCCAAGAAAGCCGAAAAATCGAGATCATTTTCAAGAAAAAATTAGTGAAAGCCAAAGCTCAAGTTTTTCCACCTCCATCGGCACAACTTCCAATTGACTTCAAGAATCACATGAGCAGGAAACTGGGGGCGACAAGGGACCCTGTTTTGGTGATTGAGAAGAGATTGTTTCCATCTGATGTTTCAGCCAAGCTTCACAGATTGTCCATACCAGTCAAGCAAGTTGCCAATCACGAGTTCTTGACAGAAGGAGAGAGGAAAAGATTCAACAATGGGAACAAACAAGAAAAAATTGATGCCATTCTGGTTGAGCCATCACTTTCTGAATCCAAAATCAGGTTCAAGAAATGGTACATCCATGATTCTGGAATGTATATTTTGACTAGTGGTTGGAATGATGTTGTGGAGAGGAATGGATTGAAACAAGGAACATTAGTGCAGCTATGGTCATTCCGGAAAGAATCCCAATTGTACTTTGCTCTGATTAGGCTCTAGGCCCTGTTTGGAAGCCAAGTTTTTGAGCAAGTTTTTTACCTACTAGTTTTTTAACAACTTCTGCTACAGGATCCCAAAAAACTTCTCAAAAATTTTTACCTACATATTTCAAAATATCCAAAACATACAAAAAAAAAAAAATTCCCTTCCTTTTTTTTTTCTTCCTCCTCCATCCCAACCCACCACCACCTCCGTCGCTGACCACCACGTCCGGCGCCATTTCCTTTTTTTTTGCCTTTCAAGCAACTGAGCATAAAGAACTGATTCTAGCAAGGATGATGCCGCTTTATGGGGATCTCTTTCTCAGGAAGCTTCCGTTTCCTCCTCCGCACAACAGGAGCTAATTCCATGATTTTTAATGGGGAAGCGGTAGCACCTTGTCCGTGTCCACCAAAGGACACAGGACCAGAAGGCCGCGACGGGGGCTTATGAGACGGCGTCCGCCTACTACTGCCCACTGAAGTTACAGGGGTTGATGGACCAGGTGATGATACACCTGTAGCATTGGCAGTTGCAGAATTTTCATGTTGGGCATGAGCCGCCAGGGCATGGCCCAGCCCCTAAGCCTGAATGTGTTCAGATAATTGGAAATTACTAGGGAACTGGGGACCGCCGCCTTGACGTTGCATCTATTGCCTCTCTGGACAGTACAATCAAATGCAGGCAACCAAGGCCCAATTTAACTGCCGGGCAAGGGAAGAGGGAGGAGGAAGGGTAGAGGGGAGGAGAAGGGGAAAGGGAGGAGAGGGGTGGTGGGAAGTGGCATTGGAGGAGGTGTTGGTGGAGGAGCAGGTGGTGGTGCAGGAGGTGGGGCTGGTGGTGGAGTTGGGGGTGGAGCAGGCGGGAGAGTAGGACGGGAGGTGGAGTTGCTGCTGAGCGTGCGGAGGTGACGGGGAAGAAGAAGAAGAAGAAGAAAAGAGAGGAAAGAAAAGAAAAAGGAAAGAAAGAAAAAGAAAAAGAAAGGGAAAGAGAAAAAAAAAAGAAAATGAAAAAAAAAAGTTTTTCACCTTACAAAAACTTTTACAAAATTTTTTCAAAAACTTCTACAGTGTACTACAGTAAAGTTTTAGACAAACTCCCAAAAAACTCAGGTTCCAAACAGGCCCCTAATTACACGGTTAAAACTTTTGTGTAATTAATTGCAAGCTAATCAACTAAATGCAGTTCTGAAGTTGATTTTCTTTTGTCGTTTTGGAAGTTGGAAGGGTGGAAACTATTACATAGCTATAAATTATATCTTAATTTGCTCAAAAAAGGTTATTAATATTTTAATTTTAATTTTAATTTGTACGGGATAATTTCAGAAACCTCCCTTGAAGTTTCTGACAATTTCACTCGGCTCCCCTTAGGTTTAAGAAATCACACTTACTTCCTTTGATATAGTAAAATACCTATAATGCCATTCACTTAGTAGGAAATTTTAAATTTAAAATATGTAAAAAAAAATCTATTTTGCCGTCTCTTGTCTATTTTCTAGTTAATATAATATTTTTTTATTATTTTCAATTTTGTGGATATTAGCAAATTGAAATTACAAAATATACAAAGGGAGCAGATTATGTGTCAAATTAGAAGGAAATGAAGAAATCACAGAGAAATAAATAATGAAATTTTTTTTATATTATATTTAAACATGGACGGTACAATCTACTATGTGCGCGTGTGCATGGTACAGCAATTCTCATGACAGCTTCCACTAGAAAATAGCTAAGACTAAGAATAATACTCTATTGAGAAAGCTGTCAGATATTCAAACGCCTCATCTAGCAATATCTTAAAACTCACAGAAAAATAGTACACATCAAGCTTATGCCAAATACTTGTGCAAAATGGGAGTGAGCATTCCACATCATCAAGCTCAAGTACATTTGACTTTAAGATGCAGGTAAGAATAAATTCTGCCATGTTCCAACAGAGCCAAAAACTGAGGAGTACTAATAACCAAAATTTCTCCCCAAGCCATGATGAAAAGGGAACAGAAGTAAAGAGCAACAAGAACAACCTGTATCTATGACTGTCTCGTCTTCTATCCCGATCTCTTTCCCTTGTTGGACTACGTCCGCGGTAGTAATCCTTCTCATGATCCCATAGCAAAAATAACTAAAGATGTGGAATTTGTCATATTTTGTTTGTTGTTAAGAAAATTTTTTGTAAAATATCAATAATTACATAATGCTTTCTTCCATTGGATTAGAAATTTTTTATTATGATTTTATTGTGGAGGTAGAATTTATCATATTTTGTTTGTTGTTAAGAAAAACTTTTATAAAATGTCAATAATTACATAATGCTTTTTTACTTTGGATTAGAAATTTTTTAGTATGATTTTATTGTAGAGGTAGAATTTATACTCTATTTTTTATATATTAATATTTTTAAGGCTATAGGAGATTTATAATGGTGATTCTAGATCAAATTAGTTTATATTTGAGTATTGATATTTAATTTGGGGGTATAACATTAGTTGTCAATAGGATTTTGTGTGTGTGTGTGTGTGTATTTCGTGGCAAGTATTGATACTGTGCATGTAATTTGGGATCTTTTGGATAGCTATTTAAATTTAGAACTTATGTTTGGATGGTTCATAGGGATTTAACTTATTAATTTATGCAAAGTATGGAAGAAAATGATTGAATATACTATATTTTTCTTTCTTAATTTTGTACAAAAGGACAATTTAGGATTTTTGAAAGAAAATCTAAATTCTTGGACCTGTATTGTTATTAACAGTAAAAGTAGAGGAGGAATGTGTAATTTTTAAAACCTGAGGAGAGCTCTTTGTAATTGTGAGAAACCTCAAGGGAGGTTTGTGAAATTATCCCTTGTTTATATGGTGGAATGATCAATTCTCGCTGTCAAGCCAACCCAATGGTGAGATTGTGGGGTTCTGCTTTTACTGTCTTTCTTTTTATTTATTTAATTTAAACTTGGGGAGCAAGATTTGGACCTTGCATTGACTAGCCGCGTTGACCAAGATGGTCTGAATCTTTTGCAGGGTTAAGAAATGCAAGATGACTTATTATTCCAATGGGTCTCGGAGTTTACTTGTATTACATTGTAGGCCCCCAATAGTGTATGTTGAAAAAACACATAATTTATTTTGAGTGCTTTCTTGTATACTGAATTGTAAAATTTTTGCCCTGTTATTTTTACTTTCACGGAATGCATGTTTTTGTGCTAAGATTACATTGAACAGGTGCAAAAAAAAAAAAAGGTATAATTGATGTGATAAAAAAGATTGGAGTAACGCGCAAATTGGATAAATGTTGGAGGTAAATTTTCAATATTAACTGTAAAAGAAATCAATAGATTGGTTGGATAGACTAGTAATGACTTTAATTTAATAAAGGGCCCGTTTGGCAAGTGAGTTTTTTGGGTGCTTATCTAAAACTTTACTGTACCTTACTGTAGATATTGTAGAAAATTTTTTTGAAGTGTATAAATCTTTGGATATTTTGAAGTGTATAGTTTAAAAATTTTGAAAAGTTTTTTATATTACTGTAGCTAAAATTATTAAAAAACTTGTAGCATACAAACTTGGCAAAAAACTTGCTTGCTAAACAAGGAAGGCTAGCTAAATTTTTTTTATAAAAGTAATATTAATATGACTGTAATTTAATAAAGGCTGGCTAAATTTTTTTTGTAAAAGTATTATTAATTTGATAAAGTGTATAAATGCAAGGGTGTACTAAATATGATTTTAGGTCTTTGCATGGCATGTGAAGTAGAAAGCTAAGTAGTCAAATTTGATTATCTCATTTTTTTTTGGTCAAAGGTAATTTTTTTATTAGAAAAATTTTGGCAGAGTTTCCCCTTATAAATGGACGAAACTCCCTGCCAACAAATCCAAATACAAGAAAATTATCCACATGGTAGTAAGTTACTATAATGAAACTTTATGACAGTTTGAAAACAATTTAATAACAACTGCATGGTTAAAACAGAACTTGACATCCAACCAAATAAAGCTTAACTGCAGAATTTTGAACTAGGCTTATTATCTCATATTGTTGAATGTTACATTGATGCCCACATTGCACCTTGCCCAAAGATTAAATTATCACCCAGGATAAGGTCCATGCAGTAGTTTAATTGGAAGATATTTTGGAGTTTGAGGGTACAATCTTTGTCAATTTTTCTAATATAGTATATCTCATTCAGTTTTAGATATGTTGGAATCTATTGTAAGTTTGATGTAATTTATGCCATTAGGTATAAAACGCATAAAATTGTATTAAAGGTTGTTTTGAGAAAGTACTCGCATGCAATTCTCATAACATTAGTACAATCTCTTCTCCAATAGTTAATGGTATCTCTTATTCCAGGTACTTTTGCCGTTCCATCATGTTTTAAATATCCAAATCCCGTCCTCAAGAATTTTGATAAAAGGGCAAAAGGAGGTTTTCGAATTATGAAAAGGGGATGAATTTTGTTATGACAGTAAACTCTTTTGTCATCAATGTAAACAAAAACGTATTCACAAAATATTGAGAATCCTATCAGCTGAGTTAGTAATTACTTATATTATACTCGTACAACATGCATTTTATATATATAGTTAAAAAATCTTTCGTAGTTCACACATTTCAAAAATACTCTTTAACACATTGTACTTTTTAATTAATAGTTCAAAACACATAATAAATTTTGACTTATTAAACATCACGAATTATGTTTTAATTTTCAAAAAAACTTTAAAATTTGTAAAAGTATAATCACATACATTTAGAGTCAAAATAGCAATGACAAATATTATGATTTATAGATGTATACATATAAAATAATATGGTGATAATATTTTAATAAATTTGACACCAACAAAGTTAAAATTCGAAATTGGTAAGAATGTAGCATAATCTTCGAAATTAATTGTAATTTTACCTGTTTTTCAGTCTCATAATTTTCAAATATATTCGTAGCATTCACATATGAATTTATATGTGTGAACTCATATTTTTGCACTGAATTTTTAAGCATACTTTGAAAGAAAAATTATATATACATACGCATAATATCCTCTGTTTTAAAACTCGGACCGGACCGGACCGGCCGGTCGAACCGGAAACCGGCCAGATAGCCGGTCCGAGTCATATTAAAAAACCGGAAATTTAAAACTTGGTCAAAAACTGGGTTTGACCGGGAAAAAATCGGTTTTTCCGGTTCAACAGTAATTTTTTTTAAAAAAATTCAAACTTTTTAATATTATGTTTTGATCCCCTAAATTGTTAAAACTTATTGATATACCTCAAATATTTGATACTTTATAAATATTGTCCTAAAATTTGATGTTATTTTTCAATTAAATTCATAATTTTAATTCTAAACTTGTTAATATTTATTAAATAATATAAATTGCTACTTGATTGTTCTAATTTCTTTGTATTTTCTTGTTAAATATATTTGAAACATCAAATATATATGAATATACCTTTATTAATATCAATATATTATTAGATATTATATATATAATATTTTAATTTTTAAATAATTTTTATTTATGACGTCATCCGGTTCGACCCTATCGACCCTCGGTCGAACCTATTGACCCTGACCCCTGACTCGGCCGAGTCACTATCGCGGTCCGGTTCTGAAAACATAGATAATATCTCATATTATATCTGTCCCATATGTCACTAACTATGACCATCAGGATATTGAACGCATAACACAATTAAAGATGGATTGCTCTCCTTGCTTTCCCGCGCTTTTCATAACTTCATGATATATTATTTAGCTACCTGTCAAAAAGGGAAAAAAAAAGTGTAGGTGCATTACTAAAAATCATATGAATTATATTAAGGATTCTTACAAATAATAGTTACATATAATTTCCTCATGACATTGCTACAGTCTCACCGATAATGGCACCTGATTTTTCAGGTTAATTCTACTTTGCCCCCTCAAACTATACGCGAAATCCACTTTAGTACCTAAACTTTAAAATCAAACACTTAAATCCCTAAACTACAAGATCCGTCCCAGTTAAGTAAATTCATTAACATAATCTAGAACGTTATTAGTGTTCTTAGAGTGTGAGAAACATGCACCATTAACTGAGGTCATTGAGCGAATTTCACAAAAATATAAAAAAAAAGGAAATTAAGGAGAATAAATGAGAGAAATGTTTCCTTCCATCTAACCACCCATTTATTTGACTGATCCAAGTCCTAAAAGTGCATCCATGTGCCTTGTACATGTAGAAACGAAGTTGTTGAATCTTCAGGGGGAGACTAGGGATGGCAATAGAGTAAAAATGGGGCAGGGCAGAGGCAAAATATTTTCCTTGCCTTAAAATGGGCGGGGGGTGGGGCAACATACACCCGCCCCATCCCCGCATACAATAAAAAAAATATATATATATATATATATATATATATATATAAATACAACCCTAAATTTCCTAAAATTGCACCCTTACTTACAAAGGCCAAAGCTCTCAGTGCCAACAGGCAATAGCTGCACTCCCGCAACAAGCCAACAACTAAAAGAATAATTAAGCAAGCTATTTGGATCAGTTCCTTCCTCCACAGTCCACACTTCAACTTTCTCTTTAGTTTTAGTTTTTCTATTTTTTTTCTTTTCTTCTCACCAGAGTGGCCGAGCCCAGCCTGCAGCAGTAGCTCGAATTTTGGCCTGCCATTCTGTTCTTACAGTCCCCAAATTGGCGCCCTGCTGTTCATCTGCCGCTAATCAGCATTCAGGTACGTTTTAATTTTCCACTTCATATTAGGTTGGGGTTCTTTTGCTTCTAGTATGATGGTTTCTTGTGGCTTGCTATAAATTTATCCACTTTAGCATGATTCAGATCAAGTAGGAGAAGTGATAAGGCTTAAAGAAGACTAATTTGGTCATGGATGATTTTGTAACTCTAATTCCATTGCTATTTGTGATTTACTTGCAATTTCAGTTCTTAAACGGGAGTAGTTCCCTTGGCAGTTTTGACTTGTCCTTTCTCGTCAGAATTGATGATGAGGCTGCCATGTAGCTCTGCCTATTTCGACTCTCTAGTGGGTTAAAGGGCTTTTTCAGCTTGTTTAACTTGGCAATTATTCAGCCTTTCAACATTGTTAGCAAGTGATGATATTGGTTTCTACGTCTGTCTATAGCTTTTGCCTTGTGGTTGCTTATTAGATTAGGAAGTTACCATTGTGAGTTAAAGTATTTCTTGAGGAGTCCATTTGAATTGAACCATTGTGGGATTCATCTTTTGCCAGGAACTTTTTGAGTTGGCTGCTTCAGAGTTTTGTTGGCATTTGGGTCTGGTATGGATCCCTCTTCAATAGTGTGGCTTTAAGTTTATTGTGCCTTAGTAACTAAGACAAGCTTTTATTCAACTGATTGCTTCTTGGAGTCTGTTAAAGCTTGTCTGCAATTTATGTATAAAAAAACAAAATTTTATCCAAATTTTTGTATATATTTATGAAATTATTTTGAAATTCATCATTGTGAGCAGTCTATTTATTGTACTATTTACTTTCTTGTCTTTGTAGAATTCTTATCACCATGAATCAATCCAAAAATCTAATTGCATCTGAACAAGGGGATAATTCATCAACTCCACAATCAATGAATGTTAAATCAATTGACTTGACAGATGCAGTAGAAGAAGATGAATATGAAATTGAAGGAGGAAAAAGAAAATCAAAATCAAAAGTTTGGGTACGTTTTGATGGAGAGAAAGGTGAAGATGGCATTTTTTTATGGTGTGTGCAAGTATTGTAAAAAAAAAAATACAAGACAGGTAGCACTCATAGGATGAGTACCTTACATGATCATTACAAAGGTGTGCTAAAAAGCCTAAACAAGATATCAGGCAAATGTTACTTCAAAGTGGTAGTAAAAAAAATGATGGCAAACAAAAATTGCACAATTATGTGTTCGATCAACAACAATCACGCCATAAACTTGCATCTGCAATTGTATTGCATGAGTATCCATTATCTATTGTGGATCATATAGGCTTTCAAAATTTTGTTAAGAGTTTGCAGCCATGTTTTAAACTTGTTTCAAGAAATACAATTAAAGGAGATATTTTGAAGATCTATGAATTGCAAAGATTGAAGAATTGTAATATCTTGGAGAAGCTTGGAAGTAAGATAGAAATTACAACCGATATGTGGACTTCTAGCAACACAAAGAAAGGCTTCATGGCTATCACTACACATTATATTGATGATTCTTGGATCTTACAAAGTCAAATTTTGAGGTATGTTTTCAAAAGTTAAAAACTTGAATTATGTTTATTGTTTGTTATACATGAGCAACTTTTTTTTTTTTCTTGTATTTAGGTTTATCTATGTTCCTACTCCACATACCAAAGAAGTGTTAAGTGATATGCTTCTTAGTTTATTGATGGATTGGAATATTGATCATAAGATATCTACAATTACCTTAGATAACTGTTCCACCAATGATGGTATGATTAATTGTTTGTTGGAAAGTTTGAATGTGAGTGATTTGTTGATAGATGGTCTAGTGCTTCAAATGCGTTGTGCTGGCCATATCTTAAATTTGATTGTCAAAGATGGTTTAGAAATGATATCAGGTGGTATTAGAATTCGTGATAGTGTGGTGTATTGGACTGCTTATGCTGCTAGAATTGAAAATTTTGAAGAAGCTGCTTGCCAATTGCGCATTTCTTCTACTAAAAAGTTGTGTTTGGATTGTAAAACCCATTCGAATTGGATTTTTTTAATGTTACAAACAGTTGCAATTTATAAAGACGTATTTCCACGGGTTAAAGTACGTGAGAAACGCTACACTAGTTTGCCAAATGATGATGATTGGGTAGTTTGTAATGCTATTTGTGAGAAGTTGAAATTATTCTACCAAGTCACTGAAATGTTCTCCGGTACTTGATATCCTACATCAAATGAATTTTTTGCAAAAGTTTGTGGCATTAAAGTATCATTGGCTCAGTGGATGAAAAGTCCAAATTGTTTAATTAGACTAATGGCAAAAAAGATAATGGCAAAATATCAAAAATATTGGGAAGATTGTAATGTGATATTTGGCATTGCTGCAGTTTTGGATCCTAGATACAAAATGAAGTTGATTGAGTATTATTTTCCTATCATTTATGGTGATGAATCATTCATGAAATTGAAGCAATTCGTCAAAATTGTTATTCTTTGTTGCATGATTATCAATATCAATCTAGTTTGGGTGGAAATAGAGTTGATAGTCAGTGCATGGCTTCACATAGTGAGCATGTTAGTGGGAGTCATGATAAGAATGAAGTTGAAATGGATCGTCTTGCTGATTTTGATAAGTTTGTGGCTTCTAACTCTAGTGATGTTACTTCTAAGTCGGAATTGGATTTTTATCTTGAGGAAAATGTGTTACCAAGAGTTCCGACTTGTGACATACTTGGTTGGTGGAAAACACATGGGGTTAAATACCCCACTTTACAAAAAATGGTTAAGGATATTCTAGTTGTACCTGTCTCAAGTGTGGCATCTGAATCTGCATTTAGTACTTGTGTAAGAATAATTAGTCCTTACTCGCACTTGGCTCTGGAATGAAATAAATAGTATACAAAAGATGTAACTTCTACTTTTAAATTTATACAATTTTTTTTGTATTTCTTTATTTAGTAAATTAGTGGCTATTTTTTTATTTTGGTGCAGCTACTTGCTCTACTTTGGAAGGGATATCATGTAATACATTGTTTGATGAAGAAGATGATGTTGATTGTGTTACTGAATAGGTATTAAAGAAATTTGATTCATCTAAATTGATTTTCTCCAATTGTTTGTTATACATTATAGCCTGGTGACAAGTTTCTTTTTTTTTTTAGCATCAAATGTCAGGGTTGCTTTATCAAGTGAGTTATCACATCTCAAGATTGATGAAGAGCAAATGTTCTAAAGTTGTTGAGTTATGTTAATGACAAGAAAAACTGGATTTATTGTTAAGTGTTTTTAGTTTGTTAAATATGAGAAATCAACTCGACTGAGTTTGTTGAATACAGAATGGATGTAACTTGACTTGTTATGCTTTTATTTCCATCTTGACAGCTTTTAAATTTTATTTAATGTTGTTTACAATTGTATTATTGTAAATGAACATTTATGATGGGTTGATTTCTTTCCCCGCGGGGGATTGCGGGAGAAACGGGGCGCGGGCGGGGTAGGGGTGGGGGCAAGGGAGGGGAATGGAGCGGAGGATGGGGGAGTTATTTGACAACGGGCGCGGGGATGGGGAAGGATCCCCCGCCCCAACCCCGCCCCATTGCCACCCTGGAAGACCGAAGAAAAAATGCAAATCCGGGTCCACTTTCTCGGATTTCAATCTGACTCTACCAAACCAGATTTCACTCTTTTTCTTACTGCAACAATCAGCAGCTATTAAGGGCTATGAAGGTTCACTTGGGCCTATTCTTCAGATTTTCGACAAGAAGGAACAGAACAACGAAGACTAAGGGAGGTGGGTTAACTTCTGGTTTTTGATAGTGTTTTAAAAACTGGACCGGATCGGCCAGTTCGACCGATCAGATCACGAACCGGCCTTAGCTCTGGTCCTGTTCATGCTTTGGGTTGATTATATTTAAAAACTGTATTGAACCGTGTGAACCGAATTGAACCGTTGAACCAGCGATTTTTTTGTTTTTGTCTATTAAATTGAAAAAAATTAAAAAGAATATATTTTCCTTAACGCTAAAGACTAATTATTAAATGCCACATTCACTCACTTTCTTCTCATTATTTTGCCTCTTATCAAGTTTATATTTTTATTTTGTATTTTCTTGAAATAAATATTTCTCGAAAATATGCTTAAGTTTTAGGAGATAAATAGAAATAGAGAGAAAGCTAGCTTGGGGGGAAAGGGTAAGGGGCGATGGACAGAGTGGTTGTAAGTTTTTATGTAACAAAGAGATAGATTCACTGAAGGGGCTGCGTCGGGATTTGATTAATTAATGGGATTTTTTTTGGTTTGGTGGAGAATTGCTTTTGTTGCAGATTTGAATATTATAGTGATTAATGGTATTAAAAAAAAGAAGAATGAAATTAAGAGGAACGTGGAAATACAAATGGAAACGGCGACTGCCTCTGACTGACTGACTCGCTAATATGGGTTTTTGATTGTTTAATTGCATTAAACAATAATTTAAAAACACAAGAGTAGGAGGGAGGATTCATTAAATTTGTGTTTTGACTGGGGGAAAGGGCTAGAGTGACAGCTTGGGTTTCAAATGAAATAAACAATGATGAATCACTTTTTTATTTGTTTGTTAAATTTTAGGGTGAAATTACATTTATATCCTCGTTATTTTGATTTTCAACACTAATAAAACCACACTAGAGGTGCGTGTTCTCACACTCTAAAAATACTGACGGTTCATCAATTTTAATAAGACAGATCTTGTAGTTTAGGGACTTAAGTGTCCGATTTTAAAGTTTAGATACTGAAGTGGAATTTCGCGTACAGTTTGAGGGAGACAAAGTGAAATTAACTCTGATTTTTTGGATAGTTTAGCCTTAACCATTTTCTAACTACCCAAATCCTTTTTTCCACGCCAGTGAATGACTTTTGTTAAGTGACAAACCTTAATCTCGAGAAAACCACAAAAGGCGGCAACTCTTGAGGTTTCTCAAGAGACTTATAAATTAACCCAAATCCCCCCCCCCCAGCCCGATGTGGGATACTAACTTCGCAAATCCCATCCTTAAGAAAGTTGGGAAAAGTACAGAGTGACTTTTGGCCACAAGTATCACTCTTGACAGAAAGTTGTATGCTTTTTGAGAATTAGCAAAGTTGCGATCCCCTTAGTCAAAATTTTCCCAAGTTCCTTTTAGGAAAGCATCATCCTCAACTTTCCAAAACCTTTCTCGATATATAAAGAAACAGAAGTACCAAAAAGAAAAACGGAAAAAAGAAAGAGGAACTTTCCAAAATTGTTACCACTAATCATACAACGTTGATTAATTTTCCTGGTAGATTTCCGAACCATCAAAGGACAAAGACACTGCATAACTATATAAACGCTTTCAATGCCGCACAATTTTAGTATTCTAGACCTCTTCGTTTCTTCAATTTCTTTTGTGTAATGTTAGAATAAACTATAATAGCAGCAAAAAAAAGTATGATGAACTTGAAAAAAAAATCGAGAATGGCAACGTTTAGTTTTCGTCGGCGCCCTCGAAAGTGCAGTCATCCACTTAGATCCTATACAAATTCGATTCAAGATAAGTTTCTGTATTGGCCCCTGATTGAAGAAAAAGTAACAACTTTGAAGAAATCTCGTCAATCTAATACAAGAAAAATTGAGGGGTCGTCAAAAAATACTACCAGGTTGCCTAATCTTGATGATCATCGACAGAAAATCAATCAAGAGAAACGCATGCAGGAAAAATTACCTTTCAAGAACTCTACTGGAAAGCGACATTCTGAAGTGATACCAAACGGGAAAAGAACAGTGAAGAGGAAAGTAGTGAATTCTGATGAGCAGACTGTGTTGCAGAATAATGGGGAAGGCAATGTTCATGAAAATCTTGTGCTGCGGAATGGTATTAATATTAATCGTCCATCATCACAAGAACAGCCTGAGAAGTTGAAGAATTTTGTGAGGGGTCTTGGAGATACCGGGGACCCTGTTTTGGTGATCAAGAAGAAACTATACACATCAGATGTGGATCCTGGACTTCAGAGATTCTCAATACCATGTAAGCAAGTGGTGAATGAATTCTTGACAGAAAAAGAGAGGAAAAGATTCAACAAAGGGAACAAACAAGAAGAAATCGATGCGATTCTGATTGGATCATCGTTTGTTCAATATAACATCAAGTTGAGAAAATGGTACATGTCAAGTTCTTCCTCGTACGTTTTGGTGAGTGGTTGGAATGAGTTCGTGGAGAAGAATGGATTGGAATCCGGGATTGACGTGCAGCTCCGGTCATTCAAGAGGGGATCGAAGTTGTATTTTATTCTGATTAAGGTCTAATTAGTCACATGATTACTAGTGTTTAATTAATTTGTTAATTGAATTCTTGGACAGTAACTGTGTTTACTCTTAGTTAATCATGTAAACGCAGAATTAATACTATTCATCTTGTTGATGTTTTAAAGGTTGGATATATTGCTATTACTAATTTTAAATTCCAACTGTAATGGGATTTTTGGAGTTTGGACAATAATCAGATTCCCATGTCTTTGCTAGCAATTTGTTAGTTAATATAAACTTAATATGGTAGAGAAGAGAGAAAGAATCGATTTGTTGTTATTTGCATGAATTATGTCATGAGTAGATATTTAACGTAAATTAGCCATCGGAGACATACCACTTTAGTAACTAAGCTGCCCTAATACAGTTTGCACCAGAGAACTGCATTTATCAATCGCCTAGTCTCATTCCCTTAAGTAGTCAGCTAAATGAAACACAAAATATCTATCAAAAAGAGATCATAAATCATAATACTAAACCAAATGGCAGCTCCGGGGCACATTACTCAATTGACATATTCTATAATACGAAAATGAGAAAAAGTAGGCAATATAGATGTATGGAGAATTGTAACAGTTTGGAGGTGGACTATGCCACCCCTTGTGCTTAGGCTTGTATTCTGAGCTTTGTATTCTTAAAAATATTTTTGTGCAAAGGTAGTGAGTTGATGGCTAGACCTGCATATGAGCCTTTGTATCTATATGTTGATACTGATTGCTCGTTGTATTGTTTGAGGGATTCCTACACTTGTGTTATGTGCTACCACTTTTCTATTATTAATACAATTGATGCTTAAAAAAATGGGATTAATTTTTATGCACTAATAGTGTAGTAATTTTTTTGTCTATTAGTTATGGATGTATATCCTATGTATATGATTTGAATTTCAATTTGAATTTATATTATGTGACAATAATTTAAACCTGCTAGTATAAAAAAAATGTATACTAACAGTTTATAAAAAACTGACAAAAAAAGGAGAAATAGTGGCTGCTGCATTATCCTTCATAGGAGGTACAAAAGAAAAGAGGAAAACAAAATGAAAAGTTTGAGAAAATAAAATTGTAAATGTAACCATTTCTTCATTTCTTTTTTTTTTCCTGGGTTTCAAAAAAAAAGAGTAAGTGGAAGTCTACCATTTCAAGACTGCTAGCGGCAAAATTTGAACCCTAACTTTCATTAAGTTGAACGCAGCCTTAAAAATTCAGCCGCATCCACATAGGCTACTTTATGATTAGTCTATTTATTTCAAATTTGGGGTAAAATAGGATTGAAGGGCCACATTGCAAGATTTCGTTCAATTTGGAGGACCAAACTGAAACTCTGTAAGTTTGAAGGGCCAAAATGAATTGGTGTATATTAGCCTACGGTTTGGAGATTTTCACTTAGCAAATAAGTAAAAACAAAGTCCAAAAACTAAAAAGCAAACTATTCATGAAAAGAAAACGACAAAATATTAGGACACGATGGCAGAATTGGGTTGGATTTACTAGACCCAGATCGATCAGGCCTACCAAATTTCTTTATACTTAGATTCAAGGGAGAATTGTAATTTTGATCCCCAATCTATAGTGTATGCGCGTAATTAGTCTCCAATCTATTTCGAAAATCAATTTTGGTCTCCAATCTATTCAATTTTGCACTAAAAGTGGACAATTAATGGAATTTCTTCAATTTCAACCGGAACTAAGTCACGTGAGATCATATGCCGGCACTAAAATCCCTTTTTCAATTTTTTTAATTTCTGAAACACGTTTTTTTTAATATTTTCAGCTTTGTCTTGCCTTTAGACATATTAAACAAAGGCATTAAAGGCTAAAATTCACTAATCAATGAGTGGACCCCACCATGTGTAGAAATAAATCACAAAACAAAGTAGGACGATGACGTCCTCTACTGCCTTCTTTCCTCATCTTCTTTCTTCCAACTCAAGAACAAACCCTAGGAGCCTCAATCCCTTTCTAATCAGACAAAAAAATTTGTCATTCTAGCAAAAAGTTGCAAGATCTGGGCAAAAACTTGGGGTCGAGTTTCTTTTTTTTTTCAATTTAGCTCGTCATGGAACCAATGAAAAATTGCGACTACAAGCAGCAAGCAATAATGGTTACTTCTTGGACAGACAATAATCCTAGGAGAAGATATTTCACTTGTGCAATCAAGAAGGTATGGTTGTCTCTATTTTTTATTTCGACTTTTCTGTCTCTATTTCTGAGTTTTGAGCTAAAGCTTTATGATGTTGGCTGTGAAGGGTGACAGAGGGAAAGATGCGATTATTTTGAATGGCATGATCCAAAAATGTGTAGAACGTCAACAGCTCTGATTCCTAGACTACTATGGAGCATGAACTCTAAGAATGCTACAATTGATAGGCTAAGAGCAAGGGAAAGAAAATTATTGTTAGCAATTTTGTTATTGGTACTTCTGCTGGTTATTGTGTTATTGGTGTAAAAGGCAGAAGGTTGGATAGTCTTGGTATCAACTAAGCAACTCAAGGAAAATGTGTTAAGTATTAGGCTAAGCTAGGTACTGTCTAAACTTAGAGATGAAAGACATTCCTCCTGTTCTGTAATTTTGGTAGTTTTTGTTGGAATGGGTGAATGTGTAAGTTGTAATCTACTATCAGGCTAGTACTTTCTGTTTTCTTGAATGAATAGAGATGAAAGACATTCATCCGGATTGTAATTTTGGTATTTTTTGTTGGAATGGGTAAATGTGTAAGTTGTAATTTACTGACATCGGCTAGTACATTCTGTTTATTTTGAATGAATGAATATATTTGATGTTCTAATCTGCTTCTAATTGGTTGTGCTTTTAAAGCTCATTTACAAGTTAACTGGATGTTGAGTTCATTTACATATGTAATTTCTAGTTTATGCATGAACATGGGTTACATATCATTGGATTAAACAGTCCCAAAAATCAGAATAGGAAATTCACTGCAATCCTTGCATTGCAGATGTAAAGAAACATGGAAAAATAATAGGAATTCAGTGCATCCAAGTCATCCACAGCTAGAAGCATACTTTCACAACCACCATCCCATTGATCAAATAAAGGCGTTTTCCTGCCTAGAATCCTATATAAAACTTGAAGCATCTATTTATGATAATTTCCACAATCTAGAACGACCAGAAAACAGAATGAAAACTGAACTTCAAAAACCTGAACGTCATATGTAATGGAACAGAACGACCAGAAAACAAAATGAAAACAGAACGACCAGTAAGCTACTATAAAACCTGAACATCATATGTAATGTTGGATAGTAAAACAAAACAAATGATAACATACCAAAAAACAAAAGAATACCAAAAGATAAAAGAAGATTTCATTACTGGCTTGGAACTAATGTACAAAAGACACATTCAGAATTCATTACAATCACCAAATAGACACTACTTTGTCATTTGGCAGAAATGATTACAAACTTCAAAACTGTCATGTTCACGCTGGCTTGTTCTCAAGATACATCAGTTCCAAATACTGACAATAGCTACTAATCTGACAAAAGCTACTACTAATCAAATTCAGCAACACAACCATCCAAAAGGTGCTGATTAGCAACATTAAGCTAGGTACTGATTAGCAACATCCAAAAGGTGCTGATTAGCTACATATCAGTTAGCTTTCCCTTTGTCATTGCAAGGTGGATTTGAACATCTTTGATCCTAAAAGGTATCCCTGTTCTTCCTTGGCCAACTGATTGACTGCTATGTACCACAAAATGCTCTGGAATCCCAAAAGCTTCATGCAGGTTTGGTTGAGCAGTAGGGGCAAAAGATATTATGCTGTCATCACTAGTTGCTGGGTTTTTCTATGATGAATCTATTTGCTTTACACCTTGTTTGGTTCCATTTCCCTGCAATACATCAGCATTTAACCACTAAATATTGAACTCACAAGAAACAATAACTAAATGTACATTAAGTAATAAAATTACAACAGATTTTCTTGATTTTTTGTTCTCCTCTTCTTTGCATTTGAAGTGTTGCCCCTGACTTGCAACAAAGCACAAAATGCATTAGCTGCTACAATGTTACAAACACAGGTATATCTATTTACACAAATTACATGCTTGACTTACAGAGTTATCTACTCTCATGTCATCTAGTTGTGAGAGACTCATATTCTCTTGATTTGATTGTGTTTCCTGCCCCTGTTCACTCATTTGACTGGCTGCAACACCTGCTTCCTCTCTAAACTTATATGTCCGTGTGTTATGACCTTACTCACCACAGAATGAGCATTTATGGATTTGACCAAATCTCCTCATCTTCTTGCCCTGCTCCTTTATTTGCTGTATCTCGTCAGCAAATTTTCTCCTCTGTTTCTTTGGTCTTCCTGGTGCTCTTCCATAAGTTTGTGGTAGGGGTAGCTGAACATCTACATCTTCCCACTCATGCTCTCCATTCACAGGTAAAATGCAAGGGTCATAACACTTAAGATACGTTTCAACACTGTAACAATCATCAATGTACTGCATAGGGTCCTTCATAGCAATCCACAAAGCTGAAATTGCATGAGCACATGGTATCCCTGTCAAATCCCATTTCCGGCATGGGCCAGTCCTATCCTCAATATTGACTACCCACTTTTCACCATAAGGACAAGCAACTTCAAAATTGACATCGTTTGATTTGTAAGACACACAGTAAGTTGCCTTGTCAATATTGTCCTTCATCATTTTTCTAATTTTTGGACAAAAACCAAATTTACTCCGCTTTTCCCTAGCTCTTTCTCTATTTTCTTGCATTCTTTGCATGAAAACATGCCTAAATGCGTCCATCATGACAACAATAGACCCTTTCTTGGCATCTAATATTTTGCTGTTAAATGATTCACATATGTTATTCAACAACATATCACATTTAGGGAATGTTCTGAAATGTGATCTACTCCACTCTGCTGGATTCTTGTCCTCTAACCATTTAATTGCATCAACATCTAGTTCTGCTATGGCTTCCATTCTTCTTATGAATTGTGCATGAGTAGTTGGCTTAGCCGCTTTCCATAAGGCTTGCCTCATGGCTGTCCCTTTGAATCCAGTAGCTACCATATTGCTATGCATATGCTTCACACAAAATCTATGATCAGCCCTTGGAAAAACTGAATCACATGCCTAAATTATGCCCTTCTACTTGTCACTCATTATGGTCCATTCATAGTCTTTTTCAATTTTTAGATCCTTCTTAAGTAAAGCAAGAAACCAAATCCAGAAATCCTTAGCTTCTCCCTCAGTTGCTGCATAAGCAATTGGATACAAACCATTATTTGGATCAACTCCAACTGTTGTCAATAATACTCCACCAACCGCACCTTTGAGAAAAGTCCTATCTAACCCAAACACAGACCTGCAAGCATCTAAAAATCCTTTTTTCACCCCAACAAAGCACATGTCCACTCTCTGAAATTTTCCTTGTTTGGTGACTGAATCAAGAATCAAAGTAGTCTTCTGCCACCTTCATCACTACAGTACTACCTGGGTTGCTTCTCAAGATTTCATTGATATATTTAGGCAACTTATTGTACTGGTCCACATCACTACCTTGGGCCAACTCCCTGCCAATTTTTTTAGCTTTATAGCCTTGATGTCTACTCAAATAGCACTTGTTCTCTTTCATTACCAGGTTTTTGAAGCTAGCATAATCCATCCTGGGATTCTCCCTAAATGTGTTAACATATTTTCTGCCAACCCACCCAGATTTCACACTCTTGTTATGATATGAAAACCCACACTTGTGCTTCTGTTGGAATGTTCTAACTTCCAATTTGCCATCACCTTTCATCTTCCTAGCATATATGCACCAGTCACATCCTTTGTTAGGACAAATTGCCCTGCATCTAATGGTGTCACTCTTGGTAAATTTAAATGGTCTACCCGCGCTTCATATTCAGGTTCTAACTGCCTCTTTAAACTCCTTGAATGTGGTAAATACCTGCCTAATTTCAAGGTTGGGTTATCTGCATTCTTGGGGTCATACATAGGGGCTCTTGAAAGGCCCTTTTCATCTGAACCTTGGAGACTATCAATATCTGAACCTGAATCTGGTGCAACATCTATGTCGGAGTTGTCATAATTAGTATTAGAATTACTCACTGTTTGTCCCCTAGTTTCCTCTACACATTCCTTTTTTTCATTCATCTTAAGCTGCTCTTTCCTGTGATTTTCTACCCCTAACCATTCTAAATTATGATCAACATTTTCTTCATAGTCATTGTCATCAAAATTTTGCTCATAATCAGAATCTTTTCCTGAGAATTCTCCAGAATCAAAACCCTCTATATATTCACTATTAGATTCATCATCTTCATCTTCTAATACAAAATCTTCTTCATCAACATCAGACCCCCACTGTGATGCTAATAACTCGCTAAAAGAAACCTCTATGTACAAATCAACTATCTTTCTATACTCAAATTGATCAACACAATAGGCATGCAATTCTCTATCATGCTGTAACCGACGGAAGCCATGTTCCTCTATCAAAATGTGGTGCTTTTTGTCACCTATAGCCCCAACCTGACTTTCTAACATTCTATCCATTTCAAAAAGGCTTATACCTGTGACCTCTACATGATCAAACACCCTTAATTCACCTCCCTCATAATGAACATCAGGTTCAGTTTCACATTTTCCCTATAAGTGACACTTCATAGTCACTGTCGTGCTATCACTGTCTACATTTTAAAAAAAAAAAAGAAACAACAAACAACAAACAACCAACACAGACCATAATTTAGATGACAGAAATAGCAAAACTAACAAACTGACAATAAAAAATGCATACTTTAGCAAAGATTCAAAGACAAGGACCATCAATTGCAGTAAAATAAGTCCCACTTGTATAGTATGAACCAGCATGATAAAATCCCATTTAGAGACACACATGGGACCACATCACAAATGACAAATTTTTTTAGTGCTTTTTTCAGGATTGGTCATTAATAAAGCCTTCATTACAGATTTTTTGTCCCCTCAAGTACAAAAAACATCTTTTCCACTATATTCTAACATTATAGTTGACGATTGTGCATATATATCACAAAAAGAGGCAAAATCACATACCATAATTAGGTATTGCCAGCTTGTTCATTTCCTTAGGTCTCACTGCCATTTCTGCTTTGCAATGCCATGAGCAGCTTCAGCTTGACTGAATTTGACAAGATTTTTCCGTATTTTTTCACGTTTTGATTCTTGATTTTGGCTCTTAGGCTTTGTTGTTCTTTTGCTGAAGAGAAGAGATCAGGTTGAGAAATACGAGAGCAAATATTTCTTTTTCTGACATTCAACCTTTTTGGTGGGGTCCACTCCTTGATTAGTGAATTTTAACCTTTAATGTCTGTGTTTAATATGTCCAAAGGCAAGACAAAACTGAAAATATTAAAAAACGTGTTTTAGAAATTAAAAAAATTGAAAATGGGGTTTTAGTGCTGGCACGTGATCTCACGTGACTTGGTTCCGGTTGAAATTGAAAAAATTCCGTCAATTGTCCACTTTTAGTGCAAAATTGAATAGATTGGGGACCAAAATTGATTTTTGAAATAGATTGGGGACTAATTACGCGCATACACTATAGATTGGGGAACAAAATTACAATTCTCCCTAGATTCAACTTTATATCATACCCAACTCATGACCAAATATAAACTAATATTGCATAAATTTAGACTTTACCCAGACCTATTATTCTTTTATAGGATCTAGATCTGGATAGATTTGAATTTTATAAAAACCCATAAAAAATATGATAGGTTTAAATTGGTTTCGGGTTAAACCTAACTCATTAACATGCCTATCTAAAGGCTAAATTTGTCTCATTTATTACACTTACATTGAATAAATTCATTTCTTTTATGCATGAGAAAATATCATTTGTTGGTAAAAATAAAAGCAAAAATACCTATTTTTATTAAATCAACTGTTCTGTAAATTAAAGAATGATTTTGTCTTGATATATCTTTTCCTACTATGTGGTAGTCTATTGTACCTATCGAATTTAATCAAGTACTTACATCTATCAGATCTATTATATTTCTTTAGGTTGCTTAGTAAAGATATTTGGCCTACAGTTTAATAGTAATAAACAAATTGTCAGAACCAAAAGAAACAAGAAAAAAAGTTGGAACTCTTGCAACACTTTGAATACAACTTTATGGATGATATGCTATAGATGAAATGCAAAAGAATAATTAAGTTCACATCTCAAGACGAAAGTATGCATAATAGTTTGATGTAAAAAGGAATCATTTTATATTGACCGAAGTAACAGAAGCTTCAAAGAATACAAAAGTTTTCGCATTACTTGATTTTTGAAAAAATAGAGGGTTAAAAAACATGCACAAGTTATATGATAAGGAAAGAGTAAAATTGGTGGAGGAAAATCAATAAGTGTGTCTGGATAAGAGATGATTTGGGACAATATTTTTAAAATATTCATGTAGTAGCTTTTTGATTTGATGTATGTGTAATAAAAAAGTTGTTACAAAGTATGTTTATGATGTAAGCAGATAAATTTGTGTGATTAGTTTTTTATCTAATCTAAACATACTCAATATTCTTATAACCAAACCTGTACAGATAAATTGGCTGCTTAAATATGAAATGGATCCATGCTAACTTTCTTGGTGGTAGAGTAGTATAAAAAAAAAGGAAAGAAAAGAAACCACAGCCCTTAGATTGATTCAAAACAACATTATCTTCTACACCTTTATAATTGCTTCATCTGTTCTTATCATGCACGAATCAACTATCAATTTTATAATTAATAATTTTCTCAGTATTATCTTAGACTAAATCTATTTTTCATATCCACATGCAACCTACGTGCTTTATATATATATATATATATATATATATATATATATATATGAATGGATCTGAATATATGACGCGAGTAAAATTTGAAACTCAAAAATAAATTAATATTAATTGTGGTCCCTTCATTCCAATCCCTTAATTATACACAGTTGAGTAGCAAAAATCAATTCTCGAAAGAAAATTCATTGATGCAATCTATTCTACTAGCTGTCGGATGCAAGAGACCCAGCTACCCTGCATTTTAAAATCAAAACCCAGGCTCTTGTTCACTTATTTTCTCTTTTCGTCCTCGCTCATCCTTTTTATGCCCCAACAGTGAATACAATTTGCCAAGTATTTACTCTCGGACTCTCCGGGGCTAAAACTGTCCAAGAAGCCCACAAGGGAATTTCAGTTAAAACAATAGAATTACCTAACTCAAGCACCACGATGACCAACACCGCCACCACTGCTGCCAGACAAGCTCAGCACACCAAGTTAGAAGCAGCAGCTGGTAGCGATAGAGATCAAGTGACATCATCCAAAGTACACGTTGAAAAATTGACTTGGCAATGAAGTGAGTCGTGGGCGTATTTTACTATCAGAATTAGAGCATAAGAATTGCTTTGAAGGAATTAGCTGATTGAGTTGAATAAGAAGGTTGGTCATGTATTATTCAGTTGGTGAAAATTGAACCGTAAGATTGGTCGATCAAAATCCTCATATATGCCACAAAGAAAAAAAAATTGCATTCTATACCAGAAATTGCACATTTTATTGTGGCTTTAAGAGAAAAAAGTAGAAAAGAACTTGAAACTCAAGCATTTGATACGTCCATAAAGTTCAAATTGTATGGTTTACAACGATAAAATATAATAACCTTAAAAATATGCTCAAAATAACCGATAAATGGATAACACTCAAAATAACTTATTCTCAATTAATTCTACATGGAATCCATTTGCCAATAGCTTTTGGTTTCAGATTTTTCTTAGAGCTTTGGTTGGAGATATACTATTATTCTTGACATACCGAAATCGCAAGCCTATTCCTCAAAAGTTTGATTTAATTTCATTCTACTTATTTAGAATCTAAATAAGTAGAATGACATTAGCGCTTTTGGTTGGAGATATACTGTTATTCTTGACATACCTAAATTGCAAGCCTATTCCTCAAAAGTGAGATTTAATGTTAGTCTACTTATTTAGGATCTAAATACAAAGAGATTTCTTCAAGCTCATCATTTTCATTGATCTAGA